TTCCTGGGTTTCCGAGGTGCTGACTGTCTCTGTGAGACCCGCTGTTGGCTTTCTCCCTCTGGATTGGATGGAACTGTCCTCCTGGAGAGAGGGTGTCCGCATAGCTCTTTCCATTCCAAGGTCTGGAGCCAACACTTTAATTTGTTTAATGTTTATTTATTTATTTAGAGAGAGTGAGCAAGCAGGGGAGAGTGAGAGGGCAAGTGGAGGAGGGGCAGAGGGGAAAGAGAGAGAAAGAAAGAGAGAAAGGAGAAAGAGAGACTCCCAAACAGGCTCCATGCTCAGTGTGGAGCCCGACTTGACTTGGGGCTCGATCCCACGACTGTGAGGTCACGACCTGAGCCGATATCAAGAGTTGGATACTCAACCTACTGAGCCACCCGGGCACCCCAGGAGCCAACCCTTTAGCTTCTCCCTAGGCCATGGCTGGCTTGGGTTTCCGAAGGTTATAAATGAGGGAGAGAAGTCCACAGGGCTCCCAGTAATATAAACACTCAAACTATCGCCCTGGAGTTCCCAGCCTGACACAGAATCTGCCCTCAAGACTCTGAGAGGTGGTACATGTTTCTTTTATTCTTTTAAAGGCTGCTTGAAGTTTATGATGTTCTACTCGGTACAAGGCAAACAGAGCTGTTGAGCTAAGAAGGCATGTGTGTGACTTGTCTTCCTTTTCAGTGTTTTTTTTTTCCCTTTAATTAAAAGAATGTGACACCTTCATTTATTAAGCCTCCCTAGTCTACAGGAAAGGAGAGTTGGGGGAGGGGGAGGGGCTCTGCCTCCTAACATATTTAGGTGTAAGTATGTGTGTGGGTGTGTGGGTATGTGTGCTGGGGATTACGATGGGCAGTGGAAAGGGTCTCTGCCACTCAGGAGGGTTTTTTTCCAGGCTTGATGCCTGGTCATTTCTCCAAGGCTTCTGTGGCAGGTTACAACAGATGGTGCTGCAGGTGATATGGGGCATTCTGAGTCCCCTGAGGACTCCAATACAGTGGTCCTGGAGAGGGATGTGAATTTCTTAAAGAAGATACCTCACTAGAGGCCTGGATCAGTCTAGGAAAGACCTGGATGGGGGTCCATGTGTGCTGCAGTGGACGTGGAAAAGTCTGGGTGCTGTAGGTAGTAACTATGTATGGCCCTGAGGGAGATGCCGGAGGGGATAGCTGACCTGCCTTGAAGGAGGGTGCTAGGCCACAGGACCCAGTGCAGAAGAGAACACAGTTGGATCCCCTCTTCCCAGCCAAGAATGCTCAAGGACTTTAGATCGTGCTGCATCTCAAAAGACTAGTGTTCCTAAGAGAGGAAGGAAGGGCATCTTGCCTTCACTGTAGGGGCTGCTCTCCCATCCGCCATTCAGTAAACGTTCAATAAGTACCCACTCTGCCAAACTCTGCTGGGCACTGAGAAACAAGAAGTGAATACGGCAGTCTACCCTCGGGGCCCTGAAGTCTAGAAGAGGAGACATAAATCAACACGTAATTGCAGCACAGGTAAGGGATGGGGTGATCAAGGTATACATAAGGTAGACACAGATAAGCCCTGAGGCACCGAGGAAGCATGGGCTGAGGCACAGGACTGGAGGTCTGAGTCTGAGTCTGCCTGACTCAAAAGCCACCCCAACTGTTGCTCTGGGTGGAAAAAGGACCAATATGGAAGGAGGTGGCTGCTATGGGCAGCACTGATAATGTTCTTGCCAATGCATGCCCACGGCTGATAAGACATGTACTGTGGCGCTGGTCTTCCCTCTGCACAGAGCTGTCCAACACGGGGAGGGGAGGAGAGTCAGCTATTTCTTTCTTTCTTTTTTTTTTTTTTTAAATGTTTTTATTTCTTTCTAGGAGAGAGAGAGAGAGCGTGAGCAGGGGAGGGTCAGAGAGAGAGAGGGAGTCACAGACTGAAACAGGCTCCAGGCTCTGAGCTGGCAGTCAGCACAGAGCCCGACGCGGGGCTCGAACTCACGAACCGCGAGATCATGACCTAAGCGAAAGTCGGACGCTTAACCGACTAAGCCACCCAGGCGCCTCAAGAGAGTCAGCTATTTCTTAACTGAAAGACTGTAATCCAACTTTTGGTATCTTGGGGCAACTACTTCATGTCATGGGACCCCAACAATCAGGAACCCAGCAGCATGATTCTGGGGAGCAAATCAGAACTCCTAGGTAAAAGGGGAAGTGAGATTTGAAACATGAACAGGAGGAATTGCTCCTGCTCCCAAAGAAGGCATCAGCTTTCTGAGTCAGACTAAATGACCCCAAGGGTCAGGGCTCCTAGGGCAGTAGCAGAGATAGCCGGTGCCACCGCTGAGTGTGAGCCCAGACAACACTGGCTACCTTCTTGATGTGTTGCAGCACAAAACAAACACCATTCACACCCAACTCCCCCAGCAGCTGGCCAGAACATGCACTTTGCCTGGAAAAGGGGAGGGCCCCCAGTCCCATCCATGGGTACCTCCTGGGCAGAAGAGGGGAATTAGATTAGGATGGTGAAAGCCAACAAAAAAGAAAGCACAGTAACCAGTCCCTGAGGAGTGGTGGGAAGAAAGATGGCACCTGACCTGAGGAAGCAGCCCTGCATCTCTAGTTGCACTTGTATGGAATGTAGCTCTGAGGCCCTGGGCCGGGGGACAAGTGACACTCAGTAACACCCAAAAAGTATTGTCCTCTGAGAAGGTCAATGTCCTAGGGACACCAGGACACAGAAAGATGCATCTTTAGATCCAGCCCCAGGTCCTGAAGAAAGAAAACAGTCCCTAAGGTGATGCATTCATCTTTAAATAGTTCACAGAGGCAGAAAAATTTTCTCCTTTAGAGGAGAAAGATTAAGGACAGAGAGACAGATATATTGGCTTAGGGTCACACAGCAAGTGGATGCCAGAAAGGAACTGGGCCTCTTGTCCTTTATTGTGCTATTTCTAGAGCCTCTGACTCTTTATGAGTCTAAAGTAGGCCCTAGAAGGAGCTCTTCTCTAATTTGGGGTGGTGCCAGCTTGGTTAGCCAGGTCCTCTGACCTTGAATGAATCATTTTTACCGAGGTAAATGGGTCTATGAAGCCAAACTCTCTCCCTGGCTGCAACCTCCCAAAGTCATTTGTCTGGTGAAAGGAGGGGTGGAGCAGGGCGGGGAAGTCCAAGAAAATGACCATGAACGCAAGTGTAACAGATGCACCCAGCTGTTGTCGCTAGGGAACACAGATAAGGGTGAGGTGCCAAAGGCTCCAAAACAGAAGCAGTCTTGGCTGATAGAGAAAGTCAGAAAGTGGATAGGAGGTGCCGGGGATGCTAATGCTGGCTCTGAGGGTGGCTTGTCCTCCTCCAAGAAGGCGTGTCACTGGCCTGCACATCCTGTGAGCATGAGGATTCACTGGGACTTGCCCTGAGGTAGGGAGTTTTCCTTAGAACATCCCCCAGCCTTGGCAGAGTAGTGGTGATTTTCTTTTCTTCTTCCCCGACCTCCCGCCAAGGCAGAACCTAGACCATGGGAAGTTGGGTTAACTCCTAACACTGCTGACACCCCAGCTACGACAGCAGTCATCTGGACCAAGGACTTCCCCTCGAGGCACTGTAGTTCAATAGAAAAACCACAAGATCAAACTTACTAACCAGCTGTTGGACCTTGGGTAAAAACAATTAATATTTCTGTGCTTTAGTTTTCTCATATATAAAATGCGGGTCTTCTAGATTTTTTTTTCCCATTTCTAAAACTGAGAATTTGTTAGGAACTCAAACTTCATTTTGAGTGAAATAGTACAATGGCTGAGCTCTTAACACCACCCTCTGGGATTTCTCTCATTTGTCCCAACAGGCTGGCACTTATGTACTTTGTGTCTGTTCTTCAAACCACGGCCCCTGTGAACCTTTCCGGCAACTGGCTTAGATGCCTGGTCTGCTCCTTCTCCTAGGAAACATATTTTAGACTCAGGCTTTCTCCTGCCTGCAAGTCTGAACTTTAGGTCTCTGGCTGCAATGGGCAGGGATAATGGGCACCTAGAGCAGCAGCTCTGGCATGGCTGGAGCTGGAAGAGAAATGGGGAGCCGGGGAGGGACCATTCCATGTTCTCAAACCCAGAGGAGCTCAGGGACTCTGTAGATGTGAAACAGGATTGAGCCAGCATTTCATGAGCTGGTCCAGCTAGATTCTTGGCTCCAGCAATTTCTGCTATCTCTGATTATACCGGGTTCAATTTTATGGAGGAGGGAACTAGGGCCTACAGAGGTGAACATATTGCCCAGGTTAGTCAAGTCAACAATTAACTGCAGGTTGGAGATGAGAATCCTGGTGGCTCCAGGCCAATAGTTTCTTCACTTTTCCACTCTAATCAGAAGATTCTGCAAGGACTGCTGGCCTTCCAACCCAACACAGGGTCCAATGTAAAGAAGCTGAAGACTCAGGCTCCAGGGGATGGAGTCTGATCCTGAGACTGGTGGGGCAAAGTCTGGGACAGTGCTGGGAAAGACATCCACATCTGGGGGCCATTCCTGCCCCTTCTCAGCGTTCGTGGGGAGGGGGGCACCCGAGGCCTCCTAAAGGAAAAGGTGAAGAAGCCCTGTAACCCACTCTCTCTAAGGTAAGGGGGAGGAAAGCTCTGGGTTTCCCCCTCTTTCTCTTTCCTTGCTGCTGGGCCTTCCAGCCCCTGGGCCTGGAAGTCCCCCAATCATGAATGTACCGGTGGGTCTGCTTTGGGCCACCAGGAAAGCCAGCTTCTCCCGCGCAAACCCATTTTTTGACCTGTCACAGATGCCCAGAGGATACCCGTAAGTCTTTACTGAATCTCTTGCATTACCCTCCCTCCCCCCACCTTCCCACCCAACGCCCCCTCGCCCCCTCCAGACGCGGCGCCACTGTGGTGTTCCTCCCCAGGATGAATTACCCCAAAGTGTCATCAACCCAGAAAACTAAGCAGGCATCCCGGGACGCCCCCTCCTCAGAACGCGGGCAACCCACTCCACGCCCGAGGGGTGCCCTGCAGCCCAGGTGCCCCCTCCCTCAAGACCCCCAAGACTCACCCAGAAGAGCATGTTGAAGAAGAAGAGCAGGTATTTCACCAGCGGGCTGACGAAGGTGAATTCCTCTCCATAGGCGGCCGGCGCCGCGGGTCTCCGGGCCATGATCCCGCCGCCGTCCCCCCGGGGGCCTATCTCCCCGCGGCGGCCGGCCCACCTGCGCGCCCTGCGCCCGGGGGCATGAGCCGCGCCACCGCGGGAGCCCGAGAGGCGGGGGAGCCGCGCCGCGGTGGGAAGTGCCCGAGCCGTGCGTCTGGCTGGAGCGCGGGTAGGGGAACTGCGCCGCCGCCGGAGCCGCCGGGAGTCGCTGGAGCAGCGGCGGGCGGCGTGAGCGGCGGAGACTCCGCGGCGGCGGGTGGACCAGCCTGGTCCGCCCGGCTCCCAGGAAACCGGGCCCGCCCCCGGTTGCTCATTGGCGCGGCTGCCGCAGCCTGACTTCTCATTGGTCGGTCGCTGATGTCACTAAGCGTCCAGCCATCCCTCTCCTCCGAAAGGCGGGGGAGACACCTGTTCTGTGAGGGACAACTTGTTAAAGGGTCAATGGTTCTGCCTCCTCCCCCGAGAAGGGAAGCATCCAGGCAGCAGCTGCTCAAGAGAAAAGGGATGGGAAGGAATGCACACTGCATCACACACCCACGTCCTCTACCCGGTTGCCGTACACATACATATGCAAACACACATACATTAAAATCAACAAGTACGCACATGCACATCGTGTGTTGAGCAATGCGCCGAAAGCTGCGGGAATACAAGAGAACAGAGATCATTCCCGGGGGGATGACAATACAACCAGGGAGACAAAACTAACCTACATGTAACAATTAGAGAATATTTAAGAGTAGCGGCAACCCTGTTTAGGAACTATGTATTTTAAATGCTTATTTCAGAAGCTCTGTAACCCACTGGCTGAAATTTGGAAACATCGCCAACAATTCTGCCACCCTAATTCATTACTGTTTCAATCCACCTCCCTATTTCCTCAGAATCTTGGTCTATAGGCAGACGCTGTTTTTTAACATGTTGATCTGACACAAATAGGTTGAGAACAGTGTAGGTGGTGGACACTGTGCTGACTGCCGTAAGTAATGCAAACATGAATGCTATATAGATTGTTTTTCCCCCCTTCATTCGTGTGTTGAAATCCTAAAGCCCTCCCCAAGGTGATGGTATTAGGAGATGGGGCCTTTGGAAGGAGCTTAGGTCATGAGAATGGAGACCTCATGAAAGGGATTAGCGTCCTTATGAAAGAGACCCCAGAAACCTCCCTCACCCCTTCCACCGTGTGAGGACAAGGAAAAAGACAGCCACCTAAGAACCAGGAAGTGACTCTCACCAGACACCATCTCAGCCCGAGCCTTGATCTTGGACCTCCAGAACTGTGAGAAATACATTTCTGTTGTTTATAACCCCCAAGCTATGGTATTTTTTGTTATAGTAGCCTAAATAAACTAAGAAAGGGATTCCACTCTCATCAGTTCTGTGATCTGGGCAAGCTAGTTAATACCCCTGAGCTTCAGTTTCTTCAATGTTAAATAGGGAGAGTCCTGTTCTATAATGTTGATGTGAGTATTAAACGAGACAATGCATACAAATCACTTAGCACAGGATGGCACATTGAACAGTTCACTAAAGGCAGTATTTTGAGCAGAATTTAGAATCCAGTAAGGAAACATGATAACTGCACAAATAACTATACCACATTTATTTAGTGGAGGATGAGTGAAGATATCATGGCAAGTGAAATTAAGGGAGGAAGAGACTTCGAATAGCAGAGATGAAGGGGAAGAGTAATCCAGGTGGACAAAAGGGTGAACCATAGCCTGGAGGCACAAAAGCACACTGTGTGTTTAGAGAAAAATAAGCAGACTGGTTTGGCTAGAGACTAGGGTATGCTTAGTGGTGGAAGAAAATGCTGACTGATGCCAATACATGTTGAATTGAGTTAAAGTCGTGGAAAGGTTTGAATGCTAGATTGGGGAGTTAGTGCTTCGTTGGTTTGGAAATAAAATTTGTGGTTTTTAAAATATTTTGTTTTTAAGTAATCTCTACAAATGTGGGGCTCACATTTGATGAAGATCAAGAGTCACATGTTCTACCGAATGAGCCAGCCAGGAACTCCTAGAAATAAAAGTTTTGAAGAAGGGAATGATGTAAGATCTGGGTTTTTTGTTTGTTTGTTTGTTTTTTAAATTTAGAGTGGGAAAGGGGCGCCTGGGTGGCTTAGTCGGTTGAGCGTCCGACTTTCGCTTGGGTCATGATCTCGCGGTTCGTGGGTTCGAGCCTCGCGTCGGGCTCTGTGCTGACTGCCAGCTCAGAGCCTGGAGCCTGTTTCAGTCTGTGACTCCCTCTCTCTGACCCTCCCCTGTTCACGCTGTCTCTCTCTCTCTCCTAGAAATAAATAAAAAAAAAAAATTTAGAGTGGGAAAGAGACTACAGTGTGGAAGGTTTATTAAGAGACCACTATTAATAGTCTAGTTAAGCAGAACTTAGGATCTGATTTAGAGGTGATGGTCAGAGTTGATAAGAAAGGATTGTAGTGAAGCCATTGGGAAGACAGAATCTCTATGGTGGGGGGTACAGTTGTCAGGAGCTCTGGGGATGGGGTTCAAAGGAGTGACCAGAGGCCAGGTTACTAAGAGATGAGCCATTAACAGGTGACCACTTGGAGATTCGTTTTAGTATAAAGAGGGTCAAGTGAGCTGAAGCCATTTTATAAGAAGTTAGGAATGAATGGGTAAGTAAGGGTGGGTACCCTTCTTCAGATGTTAGAAGGTTGAGAACTGAGAAGAAAGACCAAGCTGCTGGAAGTTTCTAGTAGATGACAGTTTAGAGATTAGTTTTGGTACAGACAGGAAGATGAAGGCAGATCACAAGGGGTCAAGGAGGAAATGGGGGGAGGGGGTGAAGTGGAAGCTGTGCAAAAAGACGGTGGGAAATCTAGAAATTTAGAAATTTAAATTTAGAAACCTAAAGATTATGGGAGCTTTGAGGGACCTTAGAATGAAGAGAAAGTTCTCTTTCAGCATTCAAGAGACCAGAGATGTATAGTCAAAACAAGCCAGTAAGAAGGGATTGAAGTGGTAATGGATGGGGCAGTTTTGGAGTTAATGTGTAGAAATGGGGTCAGCAATGTGGTGACCACCAGGTCCAAGGACAGACAGGATGGAAGTAAGGATGATGCCTGTACGGTAGGAAGCCATGCAGCCGTAGAACAGAGAATGAGGAAACTCTACATGTACTGAGTTGGAACTGTCTCCAAGAAAAATTATTAAGTGAAAACAGCAAAGTGAGAAATGACATATATAGTGTATTACATTCTGCCAAAAAAAAAAAAGACAAAAATAAGAAATGACATTTGTATTTGCTTGCTTATTTGTTTATTTATCTACCTAAATAAACTCTGGAAAGATACAAATGATACTAAGAAAAGAGGTTACATCCTGGAGTGGGTGAGAGCTAAGGTGCAAAGAAAGAGACTTTTCACTGTGTGCCATTTTCCCCCTGAGTTTTGAAGCATGAAGTATATTAACTATTCAAAAGACTAAATTAAAAAAAAAATACATCCTTATTACAGTATGCCATGCAGATATTTAAAATAGTGTTAGGGCACTGGGTGGCTCAGTTGATTAAGCGTCTGGCTCTTGATTTCAGCTCAGGTCATGATCCCAGGGTCATGGGATCAAGCTCTGCATCAGTCTCTGTGCTAACCGTGGAACCTGCTTAAGATTCTCTCCCTCTTTCCCTCTTCCCCTTTCCCCTGCTTGCACTTGCTCGCTCTCTCTTTCTCTCTAAAATAAAAAAATAAAAATTGTATAAAATAATGTAGAAATTCTAGATACTGGCTTGGGCAAAGATCCATGATACAGGAAGTGCAGAAAAGCAGATTGTAGAATAAAGTATATAAAGTATCTGATAACCAGGAAATGAGTTTGACCTATTTCAGGTCCTTGGAAGGCATTTAAATCACTTGGAATTTATAATATGGCCACTTAAATTGAAATCACAAAGATTATGTAATTATATGTAACATTTTAACAATGCAAATGAGAAATTCTAAACAGCATATTCACAGTATGAAATATGTGTAAATATCAACAGAGACGAATCAAAAAAGTGTGAAAGTAAAATTATTTGCATTGATGTGGTAGGATGTATAACAATTTTTAACTTTGAAATTGTTTAATATTGTTCGGGTGATTATGAACAAAATTAAAATATTTGTTTTTTTTTAATTTTTAAAAATGTTTTATTTATTTATTTATTTTTTTGATTATTTTTTTTGTGTATATATCTCATTTATTTTTAAATATTTGTAATAGTTGTATGTGTTTAATTTATTTTTGAGAGACAGAGACAGCATGAGCAGGGGAAGATCAGAGAGAGAGGGAGACACAGAATCTGAAACAGGCTCCAGGCTCTGAGCTGTCAGCACAGAGTCCAACGCGGGGCTCAAACCCACGAACCGCGAGATCATGACCTGAGCCCAAGCCGGACGCTTAACCGACTGAGCCACCCAAGCGCCCCAGAATTAAAATATTTGAACAGTATTTCTGTAAGGCAAAAAAAAAAAAAAAAAGTCACGTGACTAGAACTAACGTTGGCAAGAGGGCATGTGAAGGAAGAGAGTGACAAGAAGAGAAGATACAGATCTTGCAGTTTGGGGAAGAAGAGTCTGAAGTAGAGCAGGGCAGGAGACTGGAGGGAAAGCAGTTCAGCAAGGGTGAAAGCCCCGCTGGTGTGGCTGTCCCAGTTAGCCAGGCTGGTGATTTCCTTAAAAAATACGCGGTAGCCTAGAGAGCGCACTGTGAAAACCGCAAATGCTGGGATGTGCAAAGAGGCAAGTAAGTGATTCTGTGATGGTTTGAAATGCACCATTGAAAAGCGCATCTATGGGATCTAAGGTTGTAAAATAATTCACTGCTTGTATGTGAGTCTAGGAAAATTAGAAGGTTTGTCTGCAAACCTCTGTTCATTTTTATTTTTTTTAAATACTTTTCTTTTATTTCTAGGAGAGAGAGAGACAGCGTGAGCGGGGAGGGTCAGAGAGAGAGGGAGACACAGACTCTGAAATAGGCTCCAGGCTCTGAGCTGGCAGTCAGCACAGAGCCTGACGCGGGGCTCGAACCCACGAACCTCGAGATCATGACCTAAGCGAAAGTCGGAGGCTTAACCGACTAAGCCACCCAGGTGCCCCTGCAAACCTCTGTTTAGTGCTTTAAGTTTTTTTCTTGCATTTTCATTTTTTATTGATATGTAACGTACCTACAAAATGCATTGTTCTTTTCTGTATGTGCCCTTCTTTCTACCTTTCGTACATGTTCTTTAAAAATCTGAGATCA